TAAATTTCCCCAAAATTTTCTCCCCCCAAATTTCCCAAAACTCCCACAAATCTCCCCAGAAAATGACCACAAACTCACTGAGATCTCTCAAAAATATGACCAGAAATTCAACCAAATCTCCCCAAAAAATGATCACAAACTCACCCAAATCTCCCCATAAAATGACCACAAACTCACAGAAATCTCCCCAAGAAATGACCACAAACTCACCCAAATCTCCCCAAAAAATGACCACAAATACACCTAAATCTCTCCACAGATGACCCGAAACTCACGCAAATCTCCCCAAAAAAATGACCAGAAACTTAAACAAATCTCCTCTAAAAATGTCCACAAACTCACAGAAATCTCAACAAAAAATGACGCAAAACTCACCCAAATCTTCCCAAAAAATTACTACAAATTCAACCTAATCTCCCAAAAAATGACCCAAAACTCACCCAAATCTCCCCAAAATATGACCAGAAACTCACCCAAATCTCCCCCCAAAAAAGTGACTTAAAAGTCACTAAAATCGCCCCCAAAAATGACCCAAAACTCACACAAATCTCCTCAAAAAATGACCTCTCCTGCCCCTCTCCCCCACGCTCAGGAACCCTCAGGGTCCCTTCCCCACCCTCGGGGTTCCTCCATGCCCCTCCCCCACCCCTGGAGGAACCTCCTGCCCTTCCCCCACCCTCAGGGACCCATCTGCCCCTCCCCCACCTTCGAGGTCTCTCCCTGTCTCTCCCCAACCCTCAGTAACCCCCCCACCACTAACCCCCGCAGTAGCTCCCAGTAACCCCAGAGACCATCCCAGTAACCCCAGTGAGCCCCCCAGTATGTCCCAGTAGCTCCCAGTTTCCCCCCCAGTGCCTCCCAGTATGTCCCAGTTTAACCTAGTTTACCCCCCTGTGGGTCCTGGGTCAGGGCAGGTTCACATTTTCATGCCAACGGCCCTTTTCCTCTGGCCCAGTTTCTCCCAGTTCCTCCCAGTTTAACCCAGTTTTTCCACATTTTCCCGCATTTTTTCCACATTTTACCAGATTTTTCCCCATTTTCCCAGAATTTCCCATTTCTTCCCCATTGTCCCAGTTTAACCCAGTTTTCCCACATTTTCCCCTTTTTTTCCCACATTTTTCCACATTTTCCCAGATTTTCTCCCCATTTTCCCAGATTTTTCCTCATTTTTCCCAGATTTTCCAACATTTTTCCACATTTTCCAGGATTTTTCCTCATTGTCCCAGATTTTTCCTGATTTTCTCAGATTTTTTCCAATTTACCCCAATTTTCCCTAACCCTAACCCTAACTCACTCAAATCTCTCCAAAATATGACCAGAAACTCACCCAAATTTCCCCCAAAAATGACGAGAAACTCACCCAAAACTCCCCAAGAAATGACCTCAAAAGTCACCCACATCTCCCTGAAATTTGACCACAAACTCACCCAAATCACCCCAAAAAATGACCAGAAACTGACACAAATCTCCCTCAAAAAATGACCTCAAACTTACCCAAATCTCCCCAAAAAATGACCAGAAATTCAACCAAATCTCCCCAAAAAATGACCAGAAACTCAC